ATATCGCTTACACATATGTAACAGTCCCTCTGAGCAAGAAATTAATCCTGCGCTCAATGATTTTTCCAAGTGTTCAATCACTTTCTCACTGAACTTCTCGTGCAGGCATAGATTGATCGGACAAGTAACCCATTAGCCAATAGTTTCAGCCTACCTGTGGGACACAATTCTGCCGACCTACGTGTGCAACCAACAAGTTTGATTTTAAGTGTGAACAACCAAGAGACGAATTTAGACAATAACCTGTTTATTAGTGGTGATGCAACGATGACCACCTAGTCAAGGTCTGGAAATCTAACTGAATGTTCACGATAACGCTGCACACACATCTCGAAGAGCCCAACTGCACGAACGTGTCCGTTCATACTGATAACTCTCATTGACCGCAGTGACATAACCACCAAAATGTTAACTAAAGCGGCTAGTTTCGATTCTTCCATATACATCTGATGCGTCCCAATAAGGACCACAGCATTCGTGTAGTTGGACTTTCTGAGATCCAACCGTACCTGCACTGGTTGTCATCTGGTATGATTTCAGGCTCGTTAATGCTTGGGTCTATTAAGAGATTCAATCAGTTTTCACACTCAAAATCGTCCAAGGATCATCTGATTGCACGGATGACTCAGCATCTGCTTGGGACGATAATTATACAAGTGGTCTTGTGCTCTCTAGTCTTACTATTTTTCCGGCCAAGTTATACACCACGTCGAAACCTGGAATCTTACATACGCCTACGGAGCTTGGTTTTTTTCGATAGACAATTCTTGGTGTGGCCATGTCAAATTGCTTTCGCCTGAACTTAGGCACATAACCTCACAATTTTATCGCTCTTCACGTTTTTTCAGATTTGAATAGTTAAGTTATTGATATATGTATATTCTGTAGCCGCGATTTTTATCCTCATTCGCATTATGCCTTTACGATTCGATAACAGAGATTTGGAAATCGAAAAGATATGGGCGCAAGAGAAAACCATTTTGGCGGAGAGCCAAGAAGTTGGCCGATCATTGCTTGCCGTAAATCAGCTAATTCGTCGTCATCGGTTGTTGATCAAGGAAGTCACAAGTCGGAGTGAACGGATTACACTGTTACTGGAGGTTTGTCACAGCATACTAGAATTCAAAAAGTTTTTTTCAAACCAGAGTAAGGTAGCTTTTGTTTCGATTCAACGTCCCTGTCAGAAGGAAATACTTGAAATCCTCTCTGTGCAGCTGATCTGCAGAATTGCGCAAGAACATTTTCTGTTGAGAAATTATTGCAATGGAATGTCAAACATATCCGAATCCATATTAATAGTCCAGAACAAAAACTGCTTGTTTCCCAATCCGGAGGCGCATTACACCCTCATTTGAGTTTTTGCCTAAAAAGTTACTGTTTTTTCGATGAGTTGGGCATTTTAAGTGCAAACATTTCGTTACCAGTCGAGGTGCCATCATCTAGGCACGGCTAGGAAGCGGATTGGAGCTTAGCGGTGCGCCATCCATTATAGGTTGAGACAAACGGTGCGTGTGTGTTAACTTACGTGTTGCTAGTCGGGGCAGACCTTCGATCACAATTGGTTGTTCAGTAAGGTACTTTCATTGGCTGATCCGTTACGCAGTGTCCACTCCGCTCCGCCCCCCAACAACGCACTGATGTTGTTTTAGCAAACTAACCAACTGCCATCTTATAGTAACGGTATTTTCCTCAGCTTAGTTCTCGGTCTGAGCCTCCCAAGCTAGCGTTCACGTCAAAACAACCAACCAAGGTGCACAAGGTCTATTAATGCCCAAAATGAAGTCAAGAACAGTTGTACAGCGCTTCGTATATATAGCGTAAGCGGTTATAACATTCAGGAATTTCCGACGCGTTCTGGATGCGCCACTGGCAACCGGCATTTGGCCAATACTGGGTCATGATTAGCTGTTGGGTCCAGATTGTTGACCAATCAGACCCCGTCTTGATGCCGGACCGGCAAGCGTCCCGAAATCTGGGCCAACCTCGAGCGGGCCAGGCTTCTCGGCCGTAGCAGCGCCTAAAGACGTGTCGTATAGTGAGATCCGTGTGGATTCCTCCCTAACACCTCCCCCTTGAAGTTTGTTGACGTTGCTTCGAAACCGGGGGTTCACTTGCAGTGGCCTCACTGGCTTGCGGATCCTGTCTGTCCAGCGTCGCGGTTGTAATCCGTGCTTAGGCTGGGCCTCTGACGAAGCAACTGATTGACTTCCTGGGATGGTGCCGAGATCAAAAGTGTCCAGAAGCATTTCTAGACTCATATCACTCGGTCCTGTGGGCAGGATCGGCGCATCTGTCGGCCGGATCTGGTTCGCGTGGCGTATCCACTTGGCTGGACCAACTTGAATCTCGTAGAGCACTTTGCCGCGCCGGCGAAGGATGAGTCCTGGGGTCCACGTAGGGCGTCTGCCGCTGTAGTCACGAACCAACACTCTCTGGCCTTCGCTGAATGCGCGCGCAGTTGCTCCATGATGCCGGTTGAACTGTTCCTCCATTCTGGTGTTGCGGTGACCAGCCTGCTTCGTTTGTGGCCGCATAGTGTCACGCGGTGTTCGGAGCCTCCTTCGGAGCAGTGCCTCTGCTGGTGATACTCCATCAGGCGAGTTGGGGTTTGGCGTAGCTCGATATGCCAGCAGGAACCTTTGCAAAATCTATTCCGTTGGTCCCTCCCCCCTGGACTTCTGAAGTGCCCGCTTGAGAGTGTCAACAAAGCGTTCCGCTTGGCCGTTCGACTGTGGATGAAACGGCGGCGAGCGAATATGCGTTATGCCATACTCCCGACAAAAGTGTGCGAACGCCGACGACGTAAACTGACTGCCGTTGTCGGATACAATTGTCTCTGGCGTTCCAAACCGACTGAACAATCGCCGGAGTTCCAGGACTGTAATGGCAGTTGTGGGGCTGTTCACCGGAAAGATTTCCGGCCACTTACTGTAAGCGTCGACCACGACCAAAAAGTGTTGGTCACCCACTGGACCTGCATAATCGATGTGAAGACGAGACCAGGGTTCGGTCGGTTGCGGCCACGAGCGTAGGCTTCTCGGCCGTAGCAGCGCCTAAAGACGTGCCGTATAGTGGGATCCGCGTGGATTTCTGCCTAACACATCTACGTTTCCCGAACCATCAACGTTTCCCTGTTTCACAAGAACAGATTCCTTGTGGTAATAGCCTGTGGAAATCTGCTAACATCTTGTTCCAAGGGGATCATAAATTTTTGTTATGCTGGCTTGTGAACATCACCCGGAACAAGCTTGCTATTCACGTTTTGCTCAGTAAATAGTTGCAAGTAGACTGAATAGACAAACTTAAAAGAATCAGTTACACGCAGCAGGTATTATTTTACTAGTGCACTTAAAAGACGCACATCAAATGACACCTGAAGGTAACATCGAAGCTCTGGAATACGATGCCTTCCGTCCAGCCTTGGAAATTCAATTAGGAGTGGATAGAATATTTCTCTTGATCGTTTGATTAAATGTTTGCGACCAAGGCCTGCGGGACCAAGCGCTTTTGATCAGTTTAGTAATTTGATTCGAAAAATTTCAGGTCAGTTAGTGGTTAGCTAGGATATTATGTTAGTTCATTGGTAGATGGTTTATCGAAGTAAAGCTGGGTTCGAATAAAGCGCATGGCGGTTATCCAGCCTAAGGTTTTTTAATGAAACGCCACAGTAAGACCCGGGAAATCCCAGTCAAATGAGAAACTTCATCCATACTGAGGTTTATCCGTTGGGTATAAACGGGATATTACTCGTGACTTCGCAGCCTCAGTTCGATTCACATTAAGTTGGTATTAACACTAGAAAGCCCAGATAATTGGTTGATCAAGATTTTGGTTTCCAACTTCACCTGGAATTCAGCCGGCCAAGTTAAGTTTCAGGTTTTCGTTTTTTTTCTAAATTGCCACCGAATCTTTTGGTCCCTGTGTTCTCTGAAGTATTATGCGGCCTAAAAGTCGATTGCTGTTACTATAGTACTTATCCAAAAGTGTATATTTCTTATCGGCTGAAGTTGTCCTGCTTTGTTTGTATGTCGATCGCTCAGTATTTTAATCTCGTCGGCAACGTAGGCAACATACACAGATACCAAGTGAGCTTGTCAGGGTGACAGATTCCCAGGTAATTTGGCCAAAGTTCGGCCGTCAGCTAGCATTAGGTGTATTTTACCCATGACTTCGTACTGGGAAGAACAAACGGAATGACATCAGTGGCTGACAGCGAGTTTGAACATTCTGAGCGCCTAAAAGATTTTTAGTAAAAAAATCCAATAGAAAGAAGTTCTCAGGTTTGGCTTTCACAAAGAACATGTGTGCCGTGCGCGGATCGCCCCATATAAGCGTTCGCAATTTGCGTTTCACAGTTTATATCAAAAGTCTAAAATCTTTCGGTGTTTTGCATCGGCATTTGCTTCCATCACGAGCCTAGACAATCATCGTCATCGGCCCTTGCTGATTAACTGCTTGAGCGTCCACTCGAGAGCTGTTTTTTGGCCCAGGCTGTCGATGTTCTCCCCGCTGCGATTTCGATGAGATATGGGGACCTCAGTAGGTATCGGGAATTCTGAGGTTATTTTCCTGACACCCCCTTTTGGCCAGTGCCATTTCGGTGCACAGGGAGATAATCTGTCACCAGCACACGCTTTTCAGACCGTAACATTGGTTTTGCACCTGTTGGTGTTGATGAGCATAAGTTGTCGATTGGTAAGGTTGGGAGATGCAAGCGATCAATCGATCTATACCCAGTCCACAAGTGGCAAGATAGACAACAATACGCTCACGATAATCTTCTATCTCCATCTCACAATCGAATTCACTAAGCAAATAAAGCTGACCTCCTGATGCACTTCTGTCTGTGTTCACTTCATGGTGTTCATTTCGGTGATCCAATGGATCTATCATCATCATCATCATCGACAGCATGACATCAGTGTTCAACACCGATGCTTTACTGCCGTACAACCATGACTTATTTGAAAGCCTTATTGTAAAGAAAAGAATAAAGGTGGATGGGGGAGGGACTTAGTGCTAGCTTAACACAATCATTCCGAGGTGCCTACACCTCCAGACATTCACTCAGGCAATCTGGAAAGAAACTGGCAAGAAGAACGCCACTGACATCGAAGAACGTTTCCGTCAAACTCCAAAATGACATGCAGTAGTTAGATATCATGCACACGAGAAAAATCGTTCACAGTTGTCGCAACCTATATAAGTGAATCGACTAGCCTATAAAATGCATATTCCTCGATTACTGCTGCACACTCATTAGAAATGGTTGATAAACTGTGATTCGTTCGAATCTTGGTGTGTTATGGGGTCAGTCAGTTTTAGTCCGTTTATTAACTATAAACCCCGTGCTTTAGGTATATTGGTTGGTTTCGGTCATCAGAAGGTGGAACATCATGCGAGACACAGATGCATTACAAGCGATGGCAGATTCATTTACAGCGCGTCTCATAATAAACGCGAAAAATAATACCAATGTTAAAACTTTAACATTTATTAAACGTTTATTATTTTTTGCATAAACATATATGCATTATGGAGGTTTACTACAAATAAATTAAAATTACAAAATATACTGTGAAAAATCGGTCCTTTCTTCTATAACAAGTTGGAGGCGGTATGAGATGTGAGACACAGCATGTTTAACTTCTTCAAGCGTCACTCGTGCACACATTCTCTTCAATTCTTGATCTTGACTCCACCAAATTCTTCGGCATTCTGTAAAATGGGCGTTCTTTTATCACTCAGAGACTTTCTCCCTTTGCAGGAAAATTCAATATAGATCGAGTGGAGTCAAATTTCGCAACCAAGCCTGTAATGGTCGACACGGTGAAAGGATCTTTGATGAGACCTTGTTTGGTTTTGTAACCACGAAGTGCAGCGGTGACGCTTTCATTAAGGGAATAATAGAGTTTCACAATTTCAATGCGCGTACTGACATTCATTGTAAACACAAAAATGTTAACACTTGCACACAAAACCCTCTTTATGTAACTACCAAAGTTGAAGGAGTTCGTCATCCTTCTTCTTACTGCTACGTTTACTTACCGAATCAAATTTTGCGTCTATTATGAGACACCCTGTAGTTCAGGAAATAAACAGCTATAAAGACTAATGCTTGTTCACCGTTGACTGCTTGACTGAGCAATTCCTGCCAGTGTCATTAATCACTGGCGCGTTGATCCTCGAGGTCCCCATCCAGAGAGGCAGCAGCTGTCCTTCCGACCAAGTCTGGTGTTTATAAACTATGTTGCTAGGTCATACACCGTTCACCTCTCGGTCGAATTCACTCAGCGCGGTGCTGAGCAAAAGAACTCTGAGAGGCATACGGCCAGTGTAACTTATCAAAAGTGAATCATTCATCTGTCGAGGAAGAGTTCCTCATTCCTAAAGCCTCAGCATTCCGAATTAGATGTTCTCAAAAGGCCAGATTAATGCTTTGGAGACATTGATAGTCAAACACTGACAGCTTTCGTCTGTTCTCTGCGCGTTGAGGGAATGTTTCCAATCCATAAAACAGTATGGGTTGTACGGGTTGTATGGGTTGCACTGTTGCAGTGTAAATTGATTTATTAGCACAAACTAACGTCGCGTCGGCGCCATAACTGTTGGAGGTTGGCAAAAGCTCACCTGGCCTTCCCGATTTGTGAAGCGCACCGGAACTTATAGCACTGCCCAAGTGGGCGAATTTATTCACCACATCGATTGGCTCGTCTGCAAGCATGAGGACTGAGTTTGATCCCACCCAGTCTTGCAGCAGCACTTTACAGTGCGCTGGTGTGGGCTGTATATCAGGCTGTGCGGCAGAATTAATTAAATTACTAAATTAGCAATTGAATATTTAAGTTATTTAAAAAGATTTTCATGCTTGTAGAATCTGTACCAATGACAGAAATATCGTCCTCATAACCAACGTCTGTCAGCGAACGTCTTGGGTCTTTTCGATCTCCGAATTTTCAGGGACAGACGCGTGTTTTGAAGTCTTCCGTGACTGCTGCTGCTGACAAATCGTGAGAAGTGCAGCGTTTTTGAAGTTGTTTACTCGCTAGACATTCTGTGTGCCCACATGTGCAGAATTCCTCCCTTGAGACCATTGTTACTGTCAAGTTTTTGGCTTTCTTCCATTGGTCTGCTCGAGCATATATACGGCCAGTAGGATAAAACAATTGCCGGTTGAGTGGAGTCTCGACCTCTTGAAAACGTTTCAGAAATCACATGATGAACTAGGCAAAATTAGTTGATCCTGCCTTAACCCAGATTGTTAGACGGAAATAGCTAATACCAGACCCGGCAGAACTGACATTATTGATTATTTTGCTTTTTCAAATTCACGTGGCTGCAGGTGGTTTGACTGCCTTGGCGATAACTATTATCAGTATATATCATCTTTGTCCTGGTGCCCAGGTGACTAATACTCGATATTTTATTCCAACTTGTGGCTCACATTTCTAGATAATAGTGATTAAAAATACCGGATTTCACTTGAGGATCGCGCTTATCTCATAATCCCATAGCAGAGTAAAACTAATGTCTGAAATATTGTCACTCTTGTCGTATTCGTGATCATGCAAACCGAAAGACAGTAAAGTCGGAAATCGAGCAAATGAACCGAAGCTACACACTGGTGTCGTCAATGACTGATAGAGCTAATAACCGCGTATTAGTTTAAGCATATTTCACCCTTGTGACAAGAATTAGTCAGTAATTTGGAGAGGTTAATGAGGAGCGGGAGTGACAGTCACTATTAACTGCCATTTTAGCGACCACACGGGCGATAAATGCCCCAAGCAAGGAGTTGATGCTAATCTATACATCTATCATCAATTGAGCAAGTCCGGTTAACTTTCTTGTTCCTGTCTGTACCGCCCCGTGCAATAGATACAGATTAGCTGTTGTTATCGTGAGCACCTCAATTAAGGTCTCAGCTGCGGTTCATTTGAAGTTCCAGAGCTTTAAAATCTTGGTCGCATTTCAAATACTTTTCCAAAAGGAGCTCAGTCATTTTTCTTCTGGATTATCACAGGTACTCCAAGGAGTTCGACATTCTTGGTCTAACGTTGCAAACCACTACTCACACTACTGTTGTTCAGGTGTCATCTTAAACTTGCACGAAGTTTCTTCTTCCACCATGCAACCTCAGAGAGAAGAGGGTTATTTGGCCTGTATGTGTGCCTTTTATTCGGGGTCGATAGAAAGCTTCGTTATAGACTCGTCCAGGATTGACTCTATTTAGAACGGGACGCTCTCGGAGAGAGCAAGATTCGTCAACGGTGCGAAAAGTATGACGCACCAGGATGCACCTGAGTGTCAAGATTTTATGTTGCTGGAAGCATCTGATTTGTAAAGGCTTCTTCTATATAGGTTGCTATTCAAGTGGTTTGATCTGCTTCAGTCAGCATCACACAAATAAGATTCGTCCACATATAAACTAACGTGAAACTACTCCGTTTTCCTATATTGAACGACTGAATACAGGACGCCGAATTCCTCGTAACACAATGTCTGGAGAATGTCGATACTCAGGACATCGTCCACGAGAGCTGCATTGGAACCAGCGCCACTGCCTACTTGGTCGATAACAATGGTGTCCGATTTCGGTTACCAATGAAAGTTCTTACCAACTTGGCAAAAGAATCACAAGCACTCAAGCAAGCTCTGGCCAATCTTGATGAGATGTTGACAAAGCGCACTGCTTTGCTAGAAATGGGCTATCAGTGTTTCCATCAACTATCTGACTTTGTTGAATTACGGGAATGGCTTCAGGAGACAGAGAATACGGTACTACTACAGTCTCGAGCAAGTAGAGATACAGAAACAGCCAAAGTGGAGTTGAAAAAGCATGAAAATATTGAGTTACGCGTCAACGATTTGTTGGCCCGTAGCGTAAGAGATTTCAGTAAGTCGAAAGCTCATAAGTTTTTCATTCTATTCCTCAGGCTCACTTACGTGAACGTGTCATTCTTACACAGCACGCATTCAATGGTTAAATTTGTATACAAGCTAATGACAGACGGGAAACTGTGTCCGGATATACTGACAATACTAGCATTAGATTCATGTGACGTAAAAATATCCATGTCAGTACTGATCAGGAAACAAATATAGCTTCAGGGAAGATATCGAAGGTGAATCAGTTGAGCAGCATGGTCAGCAAAACAATGATTTCTCTACTTCACAACAGTCACGGTAAAAGAAGGCATCCCTCCATCAAACGCTTTGGGACGTGGCGCAAGATGTTAAGCATCTGTCACGCTTCCGTAAAACACCATTACGGACGGAAACTGGCGTTTTTTTGTAGTAGTGAGAAGGGCTTTGTTGTTGCATTGTCCCATCAATTTCGTCCTTTAATCGCAGCGTCCGATGCTTCACTCATTCTCTGCAATCAAATGAATAGTTGATCTTAATCCCGTCTGTCTAATGTCTATTTATATTTTATTCCATTTTTTTACCGTCTACATTATTAAAATCCTCACCTCAATATTTATTGTTATCATCACAATTTTTTAAAAATCACTGAGGATTTGGCGAGTTTCGCGGAAAAGTCTCCAAATCAGTCAGACAGACGTAGTCCAAATGAAAATTTTCAAGAATCGAAAACGCAAAAAAGGCATTCTGATATTGCAGAGAAGGCCGCATACCATCTCCCTGGGAATGGTTCCTCACAGTCTGTCTGGATGGCTCACGCTTCAGATGAAAAAATTGGTCCCTAAAAGAATTTATTTTTTTTGTGTTCAAAGCAATAGTACTACATAATTCGAACAACCATACCACCTTCTGCTTCCCATGATTCATTTTAGACATACAAACAGCAAAATTAATCAGCCAGACAAAAGATGAAATTCATGCACTGACCAACCAACTCACAAGTCTGAAAGCTGAATCGTCGCCCTCTGTGGAAAGTCAGCGAGTTGAATCCGAGGCTCGCCAACAAAAACGTCAGTTTCGTGCCAGAATAAAACATTTGAGCAAGCGATCAGAAGCGTTGCAGGCTATTCAAGCCACGGTGGACAGACAATATGCGGGCTTAAGGGATGTTTGTGTCGAGAAACGTCAGCGCTTGGAAGAAATTTTGGCGTTGAATGCGTTGTATGACGAAGTCGCTGACTTGGAGGTAGGTTTTGCCTGAATTGGATCTCACCCCATTGCTTAGCCTAACATGCTTTGTGCCGGGCATAATTCAATGGATGAGCACACTCTATTTACCAAGAATGTTTACAGCGAAATGTAAATTCACAACGAGACTTTGTTTGAATGAACTTCTTGTCGGCCAAAATAACACTCCGTTTGTATGTCCCAAAACTGAGGACAAAGTTTCTCATACAAAATCCCCATGAAACGAACGTATCGCTATGTCACTAGGTCAACAACTTCCAGTTTGTCTGTTTCGATTAGGTCTGTCCAGTTGTCTAATCCAAAGTGACAAGTCAACGCCGATAAGAAATAAAAAGTTAAAAGATGGAATTAATAGGACTCCTTTGCATGTTATCACCATCGCTAGGGCAGCCGTGGCCCACTGGCAAAATCTCATCTCAATTTGCACTTAAGCGGAGGGCACTATGGTATCCTGCAGAATAACTCAACCAACACTGACCCACCTTTCACCCACAGGAAACCTATATTAAACTGTCTCTCTCTCCGTTATGGGATGATTGCAGGTTGAAAAGTAGCCTGTTTATGACCAAACCAGCCGAATGCAACTTGCAACTAAATGTGCCCTCACGACTTTACATGTCTCACTCGTGTGACATCCCTAGTTACGCACATCAGAAATGTCTTGATTTTATTTCTTGCTGCCTTTGTAAATTCCACACTTTGTCGGCACTGTAACCACTGCCATGGATGCTCTGGTTTTGGCGGCTAAAGTCGAGGAAGTCACCGATCGGTCTGTCAACGTTGGTCACACCGCTGTACGCCTGCGCATAGTTCGAGAGAGAGAGAGACAGACGACTTACGCTGAGCTGAAAGCAGTGCTTCGCAAAGGCACACATAGACCCAGCGGAATAAGATATGTAAGATGACAGTCTGTCTCATGCCATAAATTGAATAGAACAGCATAGCGTAAAAGATGGCACCGGCTACTCGTTTGTCACAGAGCTGTGGGCGTCGTCCATTAAGTTCTTTAAGTTACAACGTAATAATGCATCCCTCACCCAGTAGGCCGTCATGCGAATTTTACTGCAAGTCACCCAATAACACACCGGTGAGGTAGCAGCATTCTCCTGACCACACGATTGTCGATGTTATCTTTGGGATAACAGTGTCGTGAAGACGCCCATTAGAAAATGAAACAGACCGACTTCAGTCCCAGCTGATTAATTTTCACAGGCAGACTGATGAGAGTGCTGGTAACCCACAAGATCCATCTCACCAAGGCATATAGGTCTGTCTTTTGTGCAAATTTACATGATTGAGTGTGGTTTTACCTTGCATCAGATCAACATAGCTTAGGGGGGGGGGTGAAGGCACGAAACTATTAACCGGAATGTCTGCGCTTCGAAACATACACTGCCTTTTCCCTTGTAGGTCAATATGACATCTCAGCTTTCGTGTTTCCTTCGGGTTGTGTGACAGCTATGCGTGGAAGTGATCCAACAGCTGAACGATTATTGATTATTTCATTTTTTATGGCCAGTATTTGGTGGACGCTGTTGATTTATGTGCCCGAACGTGGCTGGGTGCCAACAGATGGTGGCCCACCTGATACATCGGATTGCATTCATAGTAAGACAATCACATCAGTCTTACCTTGTTCGTTCAANACAGATGGTGGCCCACCTGATACATCGGATTGCATTCATAGTAAGACAATCACATCAGTCTTAACTTGTTCAAAATAACCGCTCTTTGTATTTCGAAACCGCTTGTGAAATAACGCATGCAGATGGATACCGTCCCTCTATCATTGAATTGCCAGTACATCAAACGTTCACCCGTATCTGTTCCTTTTTCACCTTATTGTCGCTCAGGCTGTGATGATTCTACACCCCCAAAGGATAGGTTTCACTTGAGAGTGAACAGACCACTTGAGTTAGATTGTCAGCAGGGAAAAATCGGGTATTTTGCCTCAGAGGAATTGTAGTTATCGTGAAGCAAAAGCAAGCCAGACAGAAAATCAATGTTGCAGCCAGCTGAACTGAACTCATCCTCAGGAAGCAAAAATAATACATATTTATCCTTACTTTACTTCCCACGATGCCTAGAAGAGTGTTCTGCAAAGTGAGCAGAATGATGTGAATTTATGGTGATGTGCTACAACCCCAAATAAACATCATCTGAATATACCACGTAAGGATAACATCGCTAAAAACATTCTGTTTGATAACCATTTCAGCTACCACGTCATTACTTTTCTAGTAACCGGACTCATCCACCGGTTTCGTTGCTTCTTAAATGTGCGTGCATCATCCCGGTTACAGGCCTGGCTCAATCAAAAGGTTAGCATCGCAGCTGCCTCGATTACCGGACGTGACCTGCCAGAATGCCTCACGATGTTGGCAAAATTTGTTAAATTTACGAACGAAGTGCTTGGTGAATCGCTGAAAAATATGACCACAGAAAGTTTCGGGATCGATCTGACCTGCTTCCCTCAGCTGCAGTTGGCGGTTGCACCCCTATGGGACAAACCTGGAACCGTGACGAGCATTGCTCGGGTAGATCGTGTTGTGCGGATGTGTCGCCGACTGATTCAAATGCGACACTCAGACGCTCCACTTATCGCTTTCTGGCAGGATCGTCTAACAGAGACACTGTGGGATTTAAATGAATTGACGGTGACACGTCTTCAGCAGCTGGTTGCAGCGGCTCAGCGGTTTGCCTATTTGATGCGATGTAATGTGAGTTTGTGTGGTCATATTGTTTTGTATCAATCGAGTACAATGCATCTCTTCCCGGTAGACCTATTTGCTCTTCAGACAATATCAATATCACAGGTTGTTACTCTCAAGTTTGTGAGATTTAAATAGATAGTTCATCTTCCTGGGAAACAACTTCAAATCTGAGTAACCCATGAACTCTGAATTCACCTCTTGGTCTGTTCCAAATGCTGTAACAAACAAGCTTTATTTCTGTAACAAAGACGAGCTCCTTTTAAAGTTCACTGGCCAGAAGTGCGTTGGGAGTGTGCGCTCTGAAAAGCTCTTGTTGTCACACCCCGTTTCGTCACCGATAGTGCTACAGTTATCGACCGCTGCATAATAAACCGGTGTGTCTCGATCTGCACTTTTAGTCCAACTTTTCATATCGCATTCTCGTTTGACGCTTTCTAACATCGAGTTGTTGAGGAAATCACATAAGTTTGAACTCAAGCTACCCAGGGTGTTACATCTGTGCACTACCCGTTTTTTCCGATTTGATCATATGGAGTCGAGTCGCCTTTTCTAAGGTCGAATGATCCTCATCTACCTAATGTCTAGGGGTTTCAAAATGTATCTCCAGGGCGATCAAGGTTTCCCCCGAAACAAACACGTGTTACTTACTCGTCAGGTCTTTATTTCACTCTACCCATCTATAAGAATTAAGCCGCTTCCGGATAAGTTCTTTCTGGGTACTTTTCAGGAAACTGATAAACGGGTCTGCGAGAAAGAGCACCAGCTTCCAGAATCAATGGGTCGGGAGCTTGAAGCCCTATGCCAACAGCTTTCTCGACACGCTGCTTTTGAACAAGATATGCAAATATTGCAAATCGAAGTGAGTCACTCTCTCGTTACGTATATGCCACTTTGTTTTGTTCATTTGCACAAACTATTTCGGAGAGTGGTGTCCGCGAAGCTTCCAAAATTCAAACCGTATTCACAATCATCGTCCAAACTTCTTGAAGTATAAGCAAATACTATTATTTACCCTGTGGGAGGATACCATTTCGTGTGAATCCCACTGCGTTTTGTGATTGAAGGAATCAGGTAAGCCGTGGATAGGACAACCTTATTCTCTATCACCTGGCAATGTTTGGGTATCGGCGGTTCCAACAAGTTCAACGTACGTTTTATGATCTGGAGTGCAGGACAAGAATATCCAGTTCTCTTTCGTCGCTAAAAATAAATAGAGGAAACTGGTCATTGCCTCAGTCTCGTTTTTCGCTTGATTGGACAGATTGTTATGCGTAGTTTCCTTTACCCTCCGTACACTAGCAGGACATCAAACAGGGAATATGTCAGCACTTACCATATTTCTCTATGCCCTGTTTGTTTGCAGGTGGACTGGGTGAAACAAACAGCTGACCGATTACTTCCTCTGTACGCCGGAAAATGGACCGGGCGACTGACGAACCCACGCGATAAATTATCTATTCGGTTCGAGGAACTGAAATGGCGTACGCGTGTCAGGCGTCGGCGATTGGAAGAGTCCATCACATTCCACAAATGGCTTGCCGGCGTCACAGCACTGCTACGCTGGACTGATAAATGTGAGAAACAACTGGACGAGGTGGTGAATGTGACACGCGAACAAACAGCATTGTTATTTTCAACGAATCAACAAATGTGAGCGTTGAATGAATGGTTCTCTGAATTTATCTATCATATAACCCCTAGTTGTTTACAAAAAGCCTCAAGAGTTTTTGTGAATAAGAGGCATAGGGATTTTTAGGTTGCAAAGTGTTTAGCAGTGCGCAAGTTAATCACACTACTGATGAGCCACTCGTGGCCGAACTGTCAATTGTTCAAACTGCATGCCAGGCGGTCGGGGTTTCTAAACTCCCCATAGGGTGAGATACACACTGCTGGTGACTCCTGATAAGGATTAAACAGCTTTGCACTGCGTCTCTGCTTTTCAACGTAGATTAGCTTCACTTACAGGACATTGGGATTCTAACATTGTAGTTGGCTCGTTTTGGGCTTTCTCCCGTCACGATCCCCCTTGAGATGTGTTGATATTTGTAACAATAAGGGTACAAGGTTCAAGACAGTTTGGAAGTTTCATAACTACTCGCAATTAAGAGCCGGTCTGAGAAAGTGACCTAATTCGTTAAATTCATCAAGGACTGACCCTAGGTGTAATAAGGGTGTAGTTAAGATTTTTTATCTTTCTTTGTATACCATTAGTAACCAGCCTGTTCATTGGTTCATTTCATTTCAGGGCCATCGAATCCGTAAAAGTACAAATTCAGTTCACATTGCAATGCAGGGATGAGATCAACGCTAGAAAAGAAAAACTGGAGGCCTGTCTGGAAAGTGGTCAAGCCCTTTACAATACATTTCATCTGGTAATCGAACAAGCTCGTGAAGTAGTCAAACCTATGGTGGACGCGGATTCTGCCACACCTGAGCCGGTCGGTGAGACCTACGTCACAGATTTCGGTGATAAAACACTCGGAACAATAAGAGAAGAAGACAGTCTTGAACTGCAACATACTAAGAGTCTCTCTACTGAGAATCAGAATGCCGGACCTTCCTTGGGAGCCGATACTTTGACGACAACTGACCCAGATGATTTATCAGCTTCTGATGAGACACATCGTCAACCAAGTGGGGCTTTGCAAGATGAATCAAGTGTACAGTCTGTGCGATCAACAGTGGAGCCTAAAACTAGTGATGACGACCTAGGGGAAATAAAGTTTGAACCCAAAGGAATGCAAACGTGGGCACAGACACGAAAGTCTCACTGTGAAGAAGCAGAGCAAATCAAACCAGCCCAAGATATCTGTGATCGGATCCAATCTAGCATGCAAGAACTAGCGACCAGCTGGTACAATGTGCGGAGACGATGGTTTGAAGTGAGCGAATTTCTTCATTTACAACTTAGTGCGGTGCTGTTCATGCGGTAAGTTTGCGGTGAAATTTGCTTTCCAGAATCGTTTTGCTTACTCATGAGTAGTTCGCGAATAACAAATATTACGGCAAACCGTAGAGTTCTGCTTTTCTCTGTCGTTTAGCGAGGCCCATGCGGCGGATCACTGGTTAGAGTTGCACGAACGGGACGTATGGATGACGGATCTTGGAGATTCAATCAAATCTACTTTAATGTTGATACGACGCCAAGATGCCTTGGAACATAATCTAGCCCTACAAACGGACCGTTTCGAGCGGTTAAAACAGCCCACGCGGGTGAGACATTTTGACTAACTTATATTTCATAGCTGACCACTGTAGGCGAACAGTGGTTATTTACTTAGGTTTACACGACGTTATTGCTCGTTGATTTGTGGTCTTCTGACCATCACGCTGAACTTTCTCGTGCAGCTCGAACTTGTTCGCCTGTACGGTCATCCTCTTGAGAACGAAGGTGTAAGATCAGAAACTACACCGGTTGGTCACGCAAGTATGGAAGTCACAGATCAGTGGAAGATGACTGAGGAACTTTATTTTCGTGAACTTTGGCAACGGTATCAACTAGCTGACCCAACACAGAAAGAAAGTGACGGATCAGGTTCGAGTGGGTCGGGTTCGGAGATAATGACGGATACGGCAAACACCGTACCCAACGGACGTGGTGAACATATTTCCATGGGTAAGTGGTCTGCCTATCTTAATGACACACAACTGAATGCGATTTCGACCGCCACTTGCTCCATATCGCCTTCAGCACATACTTCTAGTTCTTGAGAATGCACGTGGTTCCAGAGCTTGGTTTTACGATCACGTTTTTCACTTCCCAACAGCGTCTTAAATATGTTCTCTGATAAGCAGTTCTAGTGTCTTTACGGAGTAAACACGTTCCAAACCCTTTGGATTAAAATGGGATGCCAAAAATAGACAAACCGATGTGTCGTTCTCGAGGCTTTGGCCCCTGTAGGTGGCCTTTTCCAGAAGTTAGCATGATGGGACGAGTGTACGAATAAATAGCCTGGCTATCACGTTGTTCTGCTTCAGTCAATGATGCTTTAAAATGACAAATGCGGTACCCCTGAGTACGACTAGCATTTTCTGTGCACCCATAATGAACAACAGTCTATTTGACTCTTAGGAAGGCTGCTCTCTTGGTCTACTGTGACAAGCGTCTGGGCTCGTGACCGATATAATTTGTAAGGCAGGCGCAAAGAAACGCTGAGGACAGACAGCTCACGCTTTAGATTCGTGATGGACGGCATTGAGATTTCTGAATGACTGTTTTTTTCCTATCTGTATACAACTTGACTTGCTGACCCATAGTGACCCGGCATTTATGTATTCTATTCCTCTGTGTATTTGTTCATTAATTCGCAGCTGTGAAAGTCAATTGGAACTTTCTTAAATTGTGCTCCATATTCTCAATGGACTATGAAGGAATGTGGAAAGCAGAATCTGATGTTGATGATTGTCTGGAGGGGTGCCGATACAAGCAATGGAGGAACTGCGGTGAAATTAGACTGACAGCAAACTTTAGCGAACGGATTCTTGGCTGAATGATCTGATTATGATCTCACTACGGAAGTTCTTCAGGGCCATAAATAACCAGGCACTAAGCGTTAATTAAATAAAACCTATAAATTCGAAGCAGTGTGATGTCCTTTGCATTCAAGACGAACAAACATAAGGGGAGTCTCTGCGCTGAATGGTATACACGTGAAGCAAAGAATTAGGTCATCAGGTGACCGTGTTTTATGAATCGTGAATGTAAGAGTGTGTAGCGTTTCACTCCATTTTCCCTATTGTTTGCTTACTTGCGACCTGGCATTTTATTGTCAAATACACATAGTGGTTTCAAGACCTTCACGAACGCCCTTTCGTGTCTACTCCTACACTGACAGACACAGTCTGGTAACCCGCCCAGTTAGACTGTCAACAAGTTTGAACTCCGGAATTAACGAATCGTAGCTTGGTAACACTTATACGATCATTCGGGCGTGGACGGAGTGGCAACCCCGTCTTTTGAAAAGTCAGATGATGAGGAACAGCCTGTTCCGACCAGATGCCCGATATATATATCTATATATATATATATATATAATCTTNTATACTTATCTGCCTTGTGTGGGGGGTGGGGAAAATCATGAGAAACGAGTGGTCTGTATAACATCTCTCACGCTTTACTTATTGAAAGCAATTCACTACCTACTTTGCTCAGACTGGACCTACATACGGTCGGTCCGATGACGTTTATTAAAGAGTCCACTGCTAACTACCGCACCACACAGACACCATACATCTACAGATTCAGATAATTTCTCAGCTCAACTAAATTGCACGAAATTGGCACTTTGGTTTCAAATGAAATATCAGGTTGACGGAAACTGAGGGACTGTGCCTACCTAATGAACCCTAAGAAGGGCGAAACCGGCCGTGGGTAGTCGAAACGTTTTCAGCAACCTTAGAAGTAGTGCGTTACTTTTAAAAACACGGATGTTTTCTACGGATTCAGAATAACACTTCCTCACCTCATAAGAGAAACTCTTCAAAAATCGAAAACTTGCGAGAAATTAGGTATAGTTACACGAAAAGTCTGCCCCACTGAGGCTCCAAAATGCACCATATTTCGATTCCGCCTATTCGTCTGTATTTCCAGAAACATTTGGAGACAATCTGGCTCGAAAGCATGAGTTGCAGTCACATGCCGTACGAGCACGTGACCGGAAGTGGTATGACCTGTACGTTGTTGTGGAGGCGAACGTCCGGCAGCTTCTGGTCTATCGGCAAAAATCGTCTTTCAATCCGAATGAGTGAGTTCTTTTCGCTTAGCTTTGGTTCCGTTGATAGTTGTCCATAGTACCTTTCGAGACAGAGAGGAAGTACGACTGGACTACGCACTAGAAAATACTTTCAAATAAGTGAGCGGACCAAGTAACACTAAACTATATCGGATTTTCCGGCATATGGTTTCTATGTCAGAGCTTAAAGGTTATCCGCATCTCTGTCAACCCCATGCTTGAAAGCCCCAGTGAGTAGTCAGTTTAAATACTTCTGAAGTGTGCTTTTTCCGCTTTAGTTGGTGCGATTTTGCAACTGTGAACATGAATTACTCCTAATTAAAAGTCCATAGGATGCCTGAGATGTGGATGAACACTGCAAGTGAGCTCATACTACAATTCTGGCATATTTTATGCTCACGACAAGCTTGATGTACCCTATCCGATCTGTGGCTAATTTAAACAGACCAAGGATAACTGCAGTGTTGAGACCTGCCACCAGCAATAACACAGCCCCTTTCCATAGGATTCTATGTTCACCTGCATTTATTTAATCCCTTCAATATGGAACATGTCGTTGCCTAATAGCGGCGCTTGCAAGGTGACACTATCCCTAGGTTTTTCTCCTCAAAGTGCGGAAACAACCATTGCTTTCTGTCTTTCTGCGAAAGGTAAGAATTCTTTTTTGTTATTGTCCACAAGCTCTGATTCAGTCCGGTTCGAATGGACTGTTCCTTCCTTAGTTAGAAATAACAGCCAGTCCGTGTGTATGAACGATTCCCACCCAAATAGTGTTGTTAGAAGGACAGTAATTTACCTGTTTGCCTACCCTCTTTTCATCAGTCGAACAGTTATATGGTCTCTAAGGCTACCCAACATTTCCTTTTCCTCGTTACTCTGAGCTATTAAGTGAGGTATCGACGGGTGTCACCTGAACGAATAAGATGCACTTTCTTCACCCTTCGAAAGGTAAGCGATACAGTACAGCAAAACACGGCAGCTGGTTCAGTCCACCAGTATATGAGAAGTTCAGTGACATATTATATATATATATATATATATATATATATATATATATATATATATATATATATATATATATATATATAGCTGCATCGGCCTCAAGCTGCCATCTTCTCAAAGTGGTCGGGTTTCGTGCTATGACGATCTAGAGGGATATCCTTTCTAAGTACCACTCGACAACTCAAGCCTGGAACTTGAAACATCAAAACTGCACTGAAATAGCGATTCGGCGGAGCACATTGTTACCAGGGCACTCTTCAAGAGGTCCTCAGATAAAGCTTAGATAAAGCATTCAAAACCTAATGTGCACAAATTCTGCAGGACATCTGGACCGGCCAAAAATTGTCTGAAAGATTCAATCCACATGGCTCGATTGCAAGTATGAAATGGAATGTGATCAAGTGAATCCAATTTCGTATGGGTGACCCTCTGATTTTCAAGACTGGAAGACCTCTGGAAAGTAGGGATACTGTTCAGAGTTGGTAGACGAGAATTTCAATATCGATTTCTCCATTTCATCAGTCCAATAGAGAAGACGTAAGGTAGCTCACGAAACTACAAGGATGCCACAATAGTGTCCTTATTCAGAGGGAAGGAATGCGGACAGAATGGAAATAACTAACGCGGAACCGCCGCTGGAGAAATGCTAGCCAGTAGTCTGTTGAACCTCATGAATCCAGACATTTTGGATGAAGTCATCCTGAAAAAACGGTGGAGTTCGGATGAAATGTAGTACCATTGACTCAATTTTTAGCCAGACAAATACTAGAAAAATATCGCGAACCCAAATATCCGCCATGTGTCCCATTTGTTGGTCAAACAAATACTTTCTATTTGGTAGAAAGAAGCATTGCGGATCGTTCTTCGGAAGATGGATTGTCTAAATATTTTTTTTTTCAAGTCTGGTCTTCCTGGATAAGCGCTGGTGAAACTACGCCTATGGGTTTCAAGACTGATACAGCGTCATCAAAGACAGCACAACCTCAGTGTTCAACACTAGTGTTCCAATGCCGTACAATCATAATAAGTGTGAAATGGCGAACGACCATTTCAGCTAGGCAGTTGCAAAGACGAAAACAACTTGACCTGATGTGGGCCAAGGTCGTAGGCATGGCACGTGATGCGCTTGGTAGCATCGTAAACAAAATGGATGGGAAGTTGTAAATGAGCGCTTGCTGGTCAAACTAAAAGAAGTGGTGGAAAAAATTAAGCGAATTGGTGCTGCTATAAACGTAAAGCGACTGAGAGCTAACATCAATATATCGTTGTTTAATGCGGTGCCAAAACTCGTTGTAATGTCATCTTCTTCAGGTGTTCGACAATCGTTGTCTCAGAACCATAGCTCGTACGGGTTGGCGTCGGCACATTCATAACGAGGCGATTCGAAAGCGACTTTTCGGTTGTGCAACGGGTACTTACATTGAAGAATGTGTCCAGCATCAGAAGCTGCGTTGGTTGGGACATGTGCTGCACATACCGAAGAGAGTGCTGTTTCCCGTGCCCAACTCAGAGTCGTGTAAGCGGAGGTGGCCAAACCTTGATTTGGCAGAGGAGTATGAAGGAGATCACAAAACGCTTGAGTGCTGTCAGTGCTACTCGTCTTCCAGGATGGGGACCGCGTGATCCTCACTATGCCTGGTTGGAGACACTACAAGATATGGCTGCCAACCGATGTCAGTGGCATTCTTGTTGTCAGGTTCTATCCAGATTGCCTGAGTGAGTGTCTGGAGGTGTAGACACCTCGGAATGATTGGATGACTGTTAAGCCAGTACTAAGTCCCCTCTCCATCTACCTTTAATCTCTTCTTTACAATAAGGCTTTCAAATAAATCATGGTTGTACGGCGGTGGATCTTCGGTGTTGAACACTGATTTCATGCTGTCGCTGATGATGCTGGGCCGCTATATATGTGTGTCCACACTAAATTGGTCGTATCCCGTCTGGTTTGAGAAATTAGAAATATTCAGGCACTCATTCTCTCAAGACACTTATATCTTTACGTCGGTGAGTACTGAGGTTCCCGTAGGTTTGACTTTCCCGAATATCAAAACGAAGAATCGGGTTCGGAAGTCTACGGTGATGTTTAAACAAGGGTGAGTAAAATTATACAACAAACACCAGTTGTCCACGTTTGTGGCGTCAACGAGCGCACAATGCTATCACTGATTAGCACAACACAGCATCAAGGTCCGCACACAGACATCGGCGGCCAGAATGTTGGCTCGGCAGTGTAGGCTGAGGTCTATAATCGATTGCTTTGTCAGCATTATTTTGGAATTTGTCGCTGCCCTTTTATTTGGTTTTGAGTAAATCAAATATTCTCACCACACTTTTTGATGTGTAGACCCTGTCTCCGCACTTTCCATGGTGAGCCTGGTATCCCGCTTGGTCCCCAACTGCTGCACACTACTCTGGCACAAGACTACACCAAGCGGGCATACGTGTTTCGCGTTCAGGTAACGAACACCGGGGCCCAGTATTTGTTTCAAGTAAGTGTCATATCACTGGAGTGAACAGTGAATTCACCAAATCTTAGTGTTGGTGTGATCTTCAGTGTCCAAGCCTGGCTTGACTTCTGCATAGGAGGATGTGAAATTCGCGGCCAACGGACGATTGCTTTCTAATCAGCTTGTTTCCCTGGCTGATTAGCAGAGAGGAAAATTGTTGGGCCCTGACATGACAGCTACTGAATCTAAACTAATCATTTCAACAAGCTGAGCCTCGGACGATGATTAGGGACATTCTAGTGCGGCGCTTTGGTGTCCTTGAATTTTTGGGTCGAGAGAAATGGGTAACCTAGTATTGAACCTGCCTGGTGTATTAGTGAAAACCTGAACGCGACCGTAAGGTACGTGCGAAATTATAGCACTGTTGTGAAAGAATATAACAGAACGGAAATTTCGATACACAGCAGTTGTCAGTAGACCTGGCTGCTTGTCAGTAGGTTGAGTTGGTGAATGGATCGAATGTCTTGATTTCTGTGAAACATCAGTGGGTGTGAAATGTGGCGATCTCGATCAAATTCACAGGAATAACGCCCCCCTAGTCAAGGGTTCGTGTAGCTACGGTCAGAAGGGCAGGAGCATTTAACTTCACCATACTTCAAGACATAAAATGATATGGTCGTCATTCTAGATAAGCCTAATTCTGTGTGTGTAAAAGTTGCGTCAAAGCGACCTCATACACATTGTCACCATCACTGATAACAACACCAGGTGCGAAGACTAGTGCATTACCAGATCCAATTGGAAGGAAACTTGCATTCATTTTCGAGTGTTGAGAATACCTGGTCTGTCGAGTCACTGTGCCTTACCGCTGATTTGTTTTCTTCATCCGTGCAGGCTCCGACACCTGAAATATTGAAGAAGTGGGTAGACTACCTCAGTCAAGCTGCAGCACACGCCAGTCCTCTTGATATTCCAAGAATAATTACATTATCAAGACCCTCAGAAGAGATTTCCATACCCGGGGGACCACTATCAGAAACGGTTTACGAGAGAGGTGAAGATGCTATATTGAACGAAACTACAGATCCTTCATCATCCAATAGATTCCCGCTGAGGTCGATTACACCCAGAAGACTTCTCCGCTGGATAAGGCAACGTTCACGGGCGGACTCAAGCGAACTCGTTCGCAGCCGTACGACCCAGGCAATCCATACAGAGTTCACTTCAACCTCTTCTAGACCCAGCGTTCCCGTAGAGGTTGGATCAGGAGAGCATCAGGTTCTTTCGAATTCACAAACATTACCACTGCATTTCCGAACGTCAGGTGACCTGAGCTGCAGAATCCAAAGGAGTAGAAACTGGAAAATGTCGAGGTGGGACAATGTGGAAGACGAGAACACATCATCCTCCGAATATGAAGAGTTGTAATAACATACTGAAGTGCCAAATGAAACATTCATTTTTTTCAATCCGTTCACAATATGAATCGGCTAAGTAACGCCCTGAACACATAATAGGATAGAAGATTGGGAATTAAATAATGGCTTTTCAACCAGTTCCAATAAATTTAATGTGAACTCAACTCTCGACTCTTACTCATTTTACTGGAGATCGCCCTTAGATTTGAAGATAAACAGCTACGACTATCTAGGGGATCCTTTCGCTCAAAGTTAAAACTTCCGGGGCATTCGAAAATTACCAATGAAACAGGTGTCCCATTACATCAGATCCTCATCTCTGACGGGAACACAACATACTGGTGCTTACCTGCCATTTGAACACGAGGGAAAAAACCTCAGTAAGGTATGCAAAGAACAGGGAAGGATGGAAACTTGGTGCAAAGAAGCCCTACGTAATTGAGGATAACCATAAAAAATAAGATGCCTACGAACTTCATGTCGGATCAAGAGAGCGTCCTTTTTTAACCTCACCTGATTGAGGTTCAGCGCGCAACGACAGGCGAACTTTAGCTAGACAGCCCGGATAGGAAGTGATAGCGTGCACGCCACTGGGATAGGCTGCCGTGTCCTGTAGAGTTTCCAATGGCTTGAAAGCAACATAATTTGAACTCTAGCCAAGAAAATTCGCAAAAATTCAGCGGCGCTCAGTTTGACAGTAGACTTTTTCATTTCGCGTTGCCATACCGTTGTCTGTTCCTTGCCAACCTTTGGCCAACAATCGTTGGGAACAGAAGGCGGCAGCAGCAGCAACAAAACAACGCTTTGTTCGGTGGACGGCGACCGGACATACGTAACATATGCACAAGTCACTTGAACAAAGTAAGCTTAATCTGCTGCTCTAACGACTCAGGTTCACTACCAAGTGCCCGCTTAAGCGACACTTCGTTGCAGCCATACTACGGCGATCAGACCTTTGGAGGCGTCAGATCCTCGAATCGGAGGGGCCAAAACTTACGACTACAGAATGAAGCCACCCTTACAGTTGCCTTGTCTACGTCGTTCTTAGGCTTCAGGAAACTCCGCACCGACGTCATAAATGACGCGAGTTGGCGAATGCTGCTCGCATCTCGATTATCCGCTCATTAACTCGCTGTTATAAGGACACAAATATGCAACTATGCAACAACAACACAGAAACCAGAAAGCGAGACAACCCATCGCGCTGTCAAACTTGACTGGGCTTCCCCTAGGTTCATGATGCATTATTTCAAGTGTGGCACAAACCTACACGCAACTACTGTCATATAATCGACTAGCCACTTGTGCCCACTAGATCCACATCATACCATAGAGTTCGAGTGATGCACATGTCCCCGTGATCACCCCTAGTATCGTCCACTCACGCGTTTCGAGGAGTGTATAGCATACTCATTCAGCATATCAGTTCTTCCCGACGGTGTATGGGAATCGTACACCAGGATGAGAGAGTCGCACAAAGCTGCAGATCATTAAATGTCCGACAGCTGTTCCTCCTAATTAAAATGTGTCTGCCACCCTTCACATTCCAGCACCGAAATACCTAGTGCATTTACGTGTGGTTTTCTGGTGTAGCTTATCTGTTTAACTGAGCGACAGTTCGAGGTCGACAAAATCTTAGTTAAGGAGTGTACAGTGAGATGCCTCAACTTACCGCATAGTGTTTCGCTTAAAATGAAAGTATGTATCAAATGTTTCGGTAGTCAGAATAATGTGAGGAATTAGTTATAGCCTTGATACTGTGCATGAAATTCCTGACATCCCACCTGCGTGAATAGGTGGACGCGGAAGCGTATGTCCTATTATCCTGAAAAGCGTTATTCAGAAGAATCGCCACGACAGAGGAACTCACAAACGTCATCCACATAATGATATAAGTTTACTTCTAGGATTCCAAAAACTGCCAACGGATCTGAACATTGTCATAACTTGTATTCGACCAGACAAATTGATTGATATCGCCACGAAAGCAATAAGCCATAAGTGTAAGAAATAATTTCATATCTCACAGATGACGTCAAATAATAAGTATACTGGGTTCAAAACATCACGGCAGTCACCTGAATTAACGTTACACATGTCAAACACGAGAGGCGAAGGCTGACCACCGAACACCAGTGTGAATCGAGGACATAACTCAAGCTGTTACTTAAATTTGCCATGTGGAATAAACATAGCAATGGTAGTTCATGCTATCCAGGTATACGCAGCTGGCTCAAATGTTCGACTCTTCTTGGCTTGTGATGCCCGATTGACAAGTGAAATGCAAACAAACTAAACCACAGGAACAAGCTGGATCACAACACCGGCATCAGGAAGGGCAAAAGCGATAGACTACTCAGGTTAAACAACGAAACCACCACGGGCAATAATCCGCATTAAGTC